ATCAGTGTATGGGTGTACGGTATGGGCTAGCCTGCAGTGCAGCACAACAGCTTACAATCTTACACAAATCTACAGTATTCCCCCCTCCCATAACTGGTCCTGTAGCACATGCCTGAGTATTCCTTCTGAGCAAAACGCCAATCTGGCTTGAGTTTGTAGGATTTTATCAGCTCTCCAATGTGAAATGTCACTTTAAGTTGTGGAGTCCTTCCCTTCCATCGTGTGAGGGCATGTTTTTCTTTATATCGATAAATTTCATTACTACACTTCATGCTGGATGTCTTTATATTTGTTTATATAAAACTCAGAGGTACCATGGCCAAATCTAAGCAGTCATAGGACCCATAGACCACCAACCTCTTAACAGCCACTTTCAATCTTCGTTTTGACCTCTGACTACTCTCCATTCAGTTTTCCGTCCTTACCTCACCTATTTCACCCATAATACCTATGTTCATTCCACACCGGGTCTGCACTTAATATAACACTTTGATCATTACATAGTTCTCTGTGGCAGTTTGTATCATCATTATGTTGGCTCTGATACTTGTAACCTTCCATGGTTTGGAACAACCATGTTCATGTTATACTCTGTACCTTTTCAAACTTGAAACTCTTAATAAAAACATTGAACAAGGAAAACATAAGTTGGTTAAGCTTTTGTCGAATTTGAAAATTTGAAAAATTATATTGGTCAGTGCCTGCAGCGGCTGATCAGTATATTCCGACTACAGAGGAGTTAGAAGTTGAGTACACTGTAAATCCAATAGCTTTCCCAACTTAGATATATTTGTTAATTTTACTCATATATCAAAAATATGCCTTCTTACTAGTGTTTATTAAGTTAGAGTTAATTGCAAGGTAATGAAACCATTTTACTTATTTTTTTGAGTGAAACCAACTTAAAATAATCAAGTTGCAACAAAGGACACAGTGGCAATACTACACCAGTAGGAGACAGCAATGCATTAACTGTCCTTTAAGCCCAACTCTGGGCAAAAAGAAAGAAATTCCTTTGCAGAGGAGCTTTGCTTGCACTGCAAGGGTTAACTGTTTTTGCAGGGGAGAAAAAAAAAAGCTTAAACTCAGCTGATCCTCCGATACTGCAAATGGCACTCCCCCACGATCCAACAGTGGACTATTCCTGACATCCTCATGTCCTGCAGGTCTATGGGCTTGCTGACATCAGGACCAGTTCACTACTCAAGAATGCTAGATCATGGGGGGTGGAGTTGCATGAGTTGCAGGGATCAGTTTTGTACAGGGAGAATTGAAAGATCAGGTAAGTATATCTCCTTTCTCTCACCACTAAACAAAAATGGGTAGTTAACCCTTGTAGTCCCACTGCAAGGTAATATTTGTTTTGCCTGGAGTTGGGCTTTAAGTGATTGTAAAGTCTAAACATTGTTTCCTGCATTAAGGTGATAAATGTTTAGGTAATATTATTGCCCCCTCACTCCCCTTATTACACTTGATCCAGCGCTATGTCTGTCTGTATATAGTGGCTTTCTCTTCTGACTTCCAGGTCCAACAGGCTTTGCTGAGGCAGCTGCTCCTGCTGTCAATCAAAGCCAGTGAAGAGAGATTGAGGGATTAGGCGGAGCCAGAGTCTGTCAATTGACACAGACAGCGGCTCAGGATTGAGCCTGCAGGTGTACCACCATAGGAAGCGCACTTAGAACATGAGGAGCCATGAGCGCCAAAAAAGGACAATTGGGGGAATTGCACACAGCAGAAAAGTATAAACCTTTGTTATTTTTTTAAATTGTGTTTACAATCACTTTAGTCCAGTGTTTCAGTACTGCTGCAAATGTATTAAAAATGCCCTAACAGGCAGCCAGTTACAGTACATTTTCCCATGCTGGCTCTTTTATTCACAGTGCTGCCTTTCTGGTTCTTTTTGGTCATTTAAGGAGGAGAAAGGGTTAGGCCTCTTGCACATGGGAGTGATAAACACCTTGTGTTACTGATCTCTAATCAGATGTACTGATGTCTATGACACAATGCACACTACTGACTAAACACCAATAAAGCAGCACTGAGTAAAGTGTGCAAGAAAAAAATACAAAGTACACTTAGTTTGTGTCTATACTCTGTACATAATCATTTACATGTACACAGGAATACAAGTGTATAGCCATACACAGCCTCAGAGCCTCAATTATTATTTGTCCTATCACCAGCCACCTACAATTTACTCCTCCCTACTTCCAATAGGACATGGGCTTATTAGTGACAGACAGTTGTCTGCACCAATGAGAAGCAGAGGTTCCAGCTAAGGTACGATAGTATGCAGGCAGGAGGCACGTGGACATCAGACTGGAAGGACATCCAGGAGAAAGAAGAGCTGCTGAAGAGGGTGTGAGAGGCATGGAGTGAGTACAGTGGGGAATATGGGCAATTGGACTTGAAGGATGGACAGATCTGAGATGTAGAGGAGGTGCCTGAGCAGTGTGAGCTGCAGAGAGGAAGCGCGAGGGAAAGTCCATGTGCTGTAATATGCCACTCCCCCTTGGTGTTCAGTGTCTGCTTCCTGGAGGGCTGTGTGGGATCAGGAAGGTGGGGGCTGAGGGCTGTGTGTGATCAGGAAGGTGGGGGCTGAGGGCTGTGTGTGATCAGGAAGGTGGGGGCTGGGGGCTGTGTGTGATCAGGAAGGTGGGGGTGATCAGGGCTGTGGGGGGCTGAGGGCTGTGTGTGATCAGGAAGGTGGGGGCTGAGGGCTGTGTGTGTGATCAGGAAGGTGGGGGCTGAGGGCTGTGTGTGATCAGGAAGGTGGGGGCTGGGGGGCTGTGTGTGATCAGGAAGGTGGGGGCTGAGGGCTGTGTGTGATCAGGAAGGTGGGGGCTGTGTGAGTTGGAGAGAGGAAGAGTGGGGGAAAAGCTGAGTTCTGTGACTGCCATCCCTCTTGGGATTTAGTATCATCTCTGGAGGTGAGTGTGTGTTGCACTGTGATCTGGAGAGAGGAATTGCATGGGAAAAGCTAAGTTCTGTTCAATGTGTGCTTCCATATCTGTGTCCCTCTGCAGTCTGGGGGGGGGGGGGTGCAATGTGCAGCAATCTCAGTGTGTGTTTTTTCTCTCTCTCTCATGCCCCAGTTTGGTAGATTTTTTTCCTCTCCTTTTACTGCTATCACCAAGAGTAGAAGAATCTAAAACAGGAATAAAGGCAAAATGTTAGAATTGGAGACATAATTTCTGGTGATCCTGGTGGCTACCATGGATTTCCCTTCACTTTCAGTGTTGGCTATGAAACAGAAATTAACCTGTTTCAGACCGCCCCCACGCACATATACGGCAACAGGGTGGCACGTGCAGGCTAAATCCCGTAAATGTACGTCGAGGGCGCAGGCGGGCAGGGGAGGTGCCCACGCGCTCCCCCAGCGCCGCTGTCACTGTCTCCTCACACAGAGGGAGACAGCGCAGGTATCCGGCAGGCTCGATTGCCACCAGCTACCCGACAATCTTCACTATGAGAGGAGAACGGCGAGCCGCCTATGTAAACAAGGCAGCTTGCGGTTGTTTTGTTTTTGTGTTGTAGGTGTTTGCAGAGTTCAATAGAATAGCCACCACAAATCTGCAGAATAACTTTTTTGATGCCCTGGATCGATACACACCACGCTTTGTCACAATCTTCAAGTCCAAGAAAGGAAGTGTTGGAGAGACATTGTCCATGTTTGTGCAGCAAATTAATTCAAAGGTGAGTCTACTGCAACCCTCTTTTTGTTTGTTCTCAACTTACAAAACCTTTCATGATTCACTTTGTTGTAATATACAGAAATATGTAAGATACCATAAATGTACAACCTGTAACCTCTACTACTATCCCTTTTGGCCTATGTTGCTACCTGTATTGATTTCAATATTTTAAAGTGGTCTTGAGAAGTTGTGATCAAATAATGTTAAAACATCGAATCTATGGGTGTAATTTAAATAACTTCAATCAGTAACTTTCCTGAACTGTCAAATAGTGTGATATTTGCTTCATAAACATATAGGTTTACATTTTATGCAATATTAAACTGAACTTTTGATAATTTACTTCTAGAAACCTGATGTGACAGCAATGCACACCCTTGTGCTCCGAGGCCTCCCTGTTCTACTTGGTGATGACCCCAGTACATTCTACATCACCTGCTTCGTAAGTTATCATAGTTGCACCTTGGCAGTTGTGGGGGGATTTGCTTTGTGTTCCTTAGAAATACAGATTAATATTTATTATATCACTAGTACAGTGGTGGGCATGGCAGTTTATAAAATGTAATCCCTTAGTGAGGGAGGGTAAAACAAATGTTAATGCCTGAACACAATTTTGCAACTTAGACGTGTTAGTAGAACTGTATCATTACAACTACTTTGTGCATCCAGATGTATTATACCCTTTTTTGCGTGTGTATATAGCTATCTAATTTAAAGTGATATTAAAGTCCTTGTGTGTTTTTCTGTTTAAATATAACAAACGTGTTTTATACTTACCACCTTTTGTGCAGTTGGTTTTGCACAGAGCAGCCCAGACCCTCCTATTCTCGGGTCCCCTGCTAGCACTCCTGGGCCTTCACTCCTGCTGAGTGCCCCTACAGCAAGCAGCTGTATGGGGCAATTGTACCAAGGCTGTGTGTGTCTATTTAGACACAGAGCTGCGGTTTGGCCCCACCTCCTCTCTCTCCTCATTGGCTCACTGACTTTGAATGCAATGGGAGGTAATGGTGCCCCACTGCTGTCTCAGTTAATGAGGACCTGCTGCACACAGAAGGTGCTTTATCCTAATGCATAGAATGCATTAAAAATAAAAACTTGCCTTTAGAACCGCTTAAAAAAATGCTTTAACTAGTAGCCGACCGCAGATAGCCGAATGACGGCTGCACTGCGGCCGGCCAGTTCTGAGTGGACGTCATATGACGTCCCCCCAGAACGCGCTCTCCTGCGCGCCCCAGGGGGCGCACCCGGCGATCTCCGTGATCGCTGTGTCCTACGGACACAGCTGATCACGTGATGTGGTAAAAGGCCGATCACAGCGGCCTTTTACCACGTGATCAGCGGTGTCCAATGACACGCTGATCACAGGGAAATGCAAGTGCCGGTTCTCGGCTGCACTTTCCTCACGCTGTCAGATCGTGAGGAAAGTACTGCCGAGAACCGGCAGTTGTCACAGCGGGGATCGGCACCGGACATCAGGGCACTGATGATCAGTGCCCTGATGATCGGTGCCCAGCAGTGCCACCTGCAAGTTCCGCCCACCTGTGCCCAGCAGTGCGCCCACTAGCTCCGCCCACCTGTGCCCAGCAGATCACCCACCTGTGCCCAGCAGTGCACCCACCTGTGCCACTCTGCAGTGTCACACAGCTGTGCCCAGAAGTGCCACCTACCTGTGCCCAGAAGTGCCACCCACCTGTGTCTACCCACCTGTGCCCAGAAGTGCCACCTACCTGTGCCCAGAAGTGCCACCCACCTGTGCCCACCCACCAGTGCTGCCCACCAGTGCCACCCACCAGTGCAGCCCAGCAGTGCTGCCAGTCAGTGCCACCAGTCAGTGCCCAGGGGTTGTGCCAGTCAGTGCCCAGCAGTGATGCCAGTCAGTGCCGTCTATCAGTACCCATCATCAGTGTCACCTATCAGTGCTGCCTATTAGTGCCGCCTATCCGTGCCACCTCATTAGTACTGCCTATCAGTGCCCTTTAGTGCTGCCTATCAGTGCTGCCTCATCAACGCACATCAGTGAAGGAGAAAAAATACCTGTTTGAAAAATTTTATAATAGAAACAGAAAAACTTTTCTTTTTTTTTTTTTTTTTTTTTAATTTTTTGCACTTTTTATATTTATAGCGCAAAAAGTAAAGCGCCCAGTGGCGATTAAATACCACCAAAAGAAAGCTCTATTTGTGAGAAAAAAATGATCAAAATTTCATATGGGTACAATGTTGCATGACCGCGCAATTGTCAATCAAAGTGCAGCAGCGCTGAAAGCTGAAAATTGGCCTGGTAAATAAGGGGGTATAAGTGCCTGGTAGGCAAGGGGTTAAAGGAAGAAACCTTCCAAAAATAGATTGACTTTGACCCTTACCTTGAAGCTAAAACTAACCATATACAACACAGTGACAAATGATCATGTTTGTTTTTGTATCGCCTTCTGACAGCGATGAGGTCTGGGCACGTTTACCTGTTGGACTGATGACTGTCATTGATGAAAGTATGCCTGCTTCTCCAAATCATCTCCACCTTGACCCAGTGTCTATTACCATCATAGCCGAGGGAGGTACTGTAATGGAGGATCTCCAGAACCTACCTCAAGCACTTTGCCTCTTCTTTGGACTTTTATATGCTTTACACCTGGAATACAATAAAGCCATGAAAAACACTTTTAACTTCATTCAAAGAGTGATGCTTGGCATGTGGGAGATCAAATTCCCACCAAAACTGGAAAGTCTGAAGAATCTCCTGTTTTGTGTTTTGTTTTGTTTTTCTGCATGCCTGTGACCTGTTTTCAGTAAACTAAAGTTAGCTGACGTCACAGAGCTCAGAAACCTTCGTGTGCTATTTTAAAATTTATTGTAATAGATGTTCAAGCTGGCCAACTGCATCAAAATGATCTGTCTCTGGTCCTTGCATACCAAATCACCAAAATAGAAAATATAGGCCTAGCTCAGTGGTTGTACAGAACCAATACAGGCTAAAGTCATTTCATATATCGCAAATGATGTTCAATTGCCTCAAAGTAATCTATCTGATCATACAACAAACATACCTGAGTGGTTGTATATTACCAATGTGGGCTAAACTCATTTCAGGTATCATAATTGATATTAACCACTTGCCTACCAGGCACTTAGTTTTAGCTTCAAGGTAAGGGTCAAAGTCAATCTATTTTTGGAAGGTTTCTTCCTTTAACCCCTTGCCTACCAGGCACTTATACCCCCTTATTTACCAGGCCAATTTTCAGCTTTCAGCGCTGCCGCACTTTGATTGACAATTGCGCGGTCTTGCAACATTGTACCCATATGAAATTTTGATCATTTTTTTCTCACAAATAGAGCTTTCTTTTGGTGGTATTTAATCGCCACCGGGCGCTTTACTTTTTGCGCTATAAATAAAAAAAGTGCAAAAAATTTGAAAAAAAAATGTTTTTTTTCTTTGTTTCTATTATAAAATTTTTCAAACAGGTATTTTTTTCCTTCACTGATGTGCGTTGATGAGGCAGCACTGATGGGCACTGATAGGCGGCACTGATGGGCACTGATAGGCAGCACTAAAGGGCACTGATAGGCAGTACTAATGAGGTGGCACGGATAGGCGGCACTGATAGACAGCACTAATGAGGTGTCACGGATAGGTGGCACTAATATGCAGCACTGATAGGCGGCACTGATAGGCGGCACTGATAGGTGACACTGGGCACTGACTGGTGGCACTGACTGGCAGCACTGCTGGGCTGCACTGGTGGGTGGCACTGGTGGGCAGCACTGGTGGGTGGGCACAGGTGGGTGGCACTTCTGGGCACAGGTGGGTGACACTGCAGAGTGGCACAGGTGGGTGGCACTGCTGGGCACAGGTGGGTGCACTGCTGGGCACAGGTGGATGCACTGCTGGGCACAGGTGGGCGGAGCTAGTGGGCGCACTGCTGGGCACAGGTGGGCGGAACTTGCGGGTGGCAATGCTGGGCACCGATCATCAGGGCACTGATCATCCCCGCTCTGACAACTGCCGGTTCTTGGCAGTACTTTCCTCACGATCTGACAGCGTGAGGAAAGTGCAGCCGAGAACCGGCACTTGCATTTTCCCTGTGATCAGCGTGTCATTGGACACCGCTGATCACGTGGTAAAAGGCCGGTGGGATCGGCCTTTTACCACATCACGTGATCAGCTGTGTCCGTAGGACACAGCGATCACGGAGATCGCCGGGTGCGCGCGCCCCCCCCATAGCTTTGCAAGAGAGTGAAGGCAGACTCACTGCCTACACTGTAAAATCCAATTAATAAACCTTACTTAAAAAAAGCATGCAAACCGATTGCCTCATAAAAAACTAAGCAGCACATAGGATACACATTACACTTCACAGATAACCCCCCCCCCCCCCCAGTCAGTGTCATTAATACAGTGTACATTATTGTCTGATCACTGTATTAGTGTCACTATTGATGTCAGTTGGTGTCCCTCCCAGCCAGTGTGTTAGCTCTAGATTGCCCACCACTCCATCACAGTCACACTATGTTGCTGTACTGTCATTACAGTATAGAATCTATAGCTGTGTAAATTCCATATGTGTAGACACAAACCAATTAATATACACTTATTTAGATTTTGTTTTAACCAGAATACGATCATTTTTTTCAGAATACCAATTTTTTTTATTGGATGTTTTTGTAACAAATCTATATCTATTAAAAACCCCAGTGGAGATCAAATACCACCAAAATAAAGCTCTGAGTGAAAAAAAAAAAAAATGTATAAAAAATTTAATTTGGGTACAGCGTTACATGGCTGCGTAATTGTCAGTTAAAGTAGCATGGTGCTGAATAGAAAAAAAACATCTTCTGCACTATGTTCATACCACAAAACTGGTATCATGTGCGGATTTTGCTTGAACAGGATTTTGCCTGAGCAGGAACCTGCAACAATGTATGCAGTTTTCTGTGTGAAGGAAAAAAAAAAATAAAAAGGAAAGGACGTGACATGAGCATTGTGGAATGAACAGGGCACATACAGAGCTGTTTATTGCCCTTGTAGAGAATTTACATATTTCTTACACAAACTGTTAAAGTAAGCAATAGCCATAATAACAAACGTTGATGCTTGGTTTAAAACCTGAAAAAATGTCCAGAGTTTTCCATGACTGCCTATTTAAATATATCTTTTCATACAATTAAAGTGGTTGTAACCCTTTCATATATACCTAGTGAAGTGACTGGCCTTAGGTGATACAGAGATGAAACATCCTCCTACACAAGTTATACCTGTTAATCTGCAGTCTTCACTACAGCCATTTAAAGTGCTGTATTTATAAAGCTTGTCCGAGAGTTCAGAAAACAGAGGGTGGAGAGCTGAAATGAAACTCTGCAGAAATTCAGTGAGGAGAGCTCTAAGAACTGTATGGTGGGATGAGACACCTCCTTCACAGGAACAGAGCTGAGACTGTCAATCTGCTAGAGGTCCCTCCAGTCACCTTTTTTCTCTTGGTGTCAGGAAAAAAAAACTTGTCAGAAGTGATTCATGCCGATATGGAGAAATGCAGCAGAAATGAAATTATACTCATTGCTTATAATGGAGACAAGTACACATTATAGAGGGATATACTTTGTTCATATTTCATGTCTGAAGTTTACAACCATTTTAATAGTAGTTTTCCTCCATGCCATTTTACACCATACTCACAATAGGTCCACTAAATTAACTCTGCCTGCAAGTAAAGGACCTTTTACAGGATGAGTAGGAACTAGTGAAAGAAGGATCACTTTGCATATATTATAGAGATGTACAAGCTGGCCAACTGTATCAAAATGATCTGTCTCTGGTCCTTGCATTCCAAATCACCAAAATAGAAAATACAGGCATAGCTCATTGCATATATCACAACTGATATTAAAGCTGACCAACTGCCTCAGTGATTTGTACTTACATGGAATAAACTCATTGCATATATTATACTGTAGAGATGTACAAACTAGACAACTGCATCCATGAGTTTATTCCACATAAGTACAGATCACTTTGAGGCAGTTGGTCAGCTTTAACCACTTGCCTACCGCAGATAGCTGAATGACGGCTTCACTGCGGCCGGCCAGTTCTGGGTGGACGTCATATGACGTCCCCCCAGAACGCGCTCTCCTGCGCGCCCCAGGGGGCGCGCACCCGCGATCTCCGTGATCGCTGTGTCCTACGGACACAGCTGATCACGTGATGTGGTAAAAGGCCGATCCCACCGGCCTTTTACCACGTGATCAGCGGTGTCCAATGACACGCTGATCACAGGGAAATGCAAGTGCCAGTTCTCGGCTGCACTTTCCTCACGCTGTCAGATCGTGAGGAAAGTACTGCCGAGAACCGGCAGTTGTCAGAGCGGGGATCGGCACCGATCATCAGGACACTGATGATCAGTGCCCTGATGATCGGTGCCCAGCAGTGCCACCCGCAAGTTCCGCCCACCTGTGCCCAGCAGTGCGCCCACTAGCTCCGCCCACCTGTGCCCAGCAGTGCACCCACCTGTGCCCAGCAGTGCACCCACCTGTGCCCAGCAGTGCCACCCACCTGTGCCACTCTGCAGTGTCACCCACCTGTGCCCAGAAGTGCCACCCACCTGTGCCAGAAGTGCCACCCACCTGTGCCCACCCACCAGTGCCACCCACCAGTGCAGCCCAGCAGTGCTGCCAGTCAGTGCCCAGGGGTTGTGCCAGTCAGTGCCCAGCAGTGATGCCAGTCAGTGCCGTCTATCAGTACCCATCATCAGTGTCACCTATCAGTGCCGCCTATCAGTGCTGCATATTAGTGCCACCTATCCGTGACACCTCATTAGTGCTGTCTATCAGTGCCCCTATCCGTGCCACCTCATTAGTACTGCCTATCAGTGCCCTTTAGTGCTGCCTATCAGTTCCCATCAGTGCCGCCTATCAGTGCCATCAGTGCTGCCTCATCAACGCACATCAGTGAAGGAGAAAAAAAATACCTGTTTGAAAAATTTTATAATAGAAACAAAGAAAAAACATTTTTTTTTTCAAATTTTTTGCACTTTTTTTATTTTATAGCGCAAAAAGTAAAGCGCCCGGTGGCGATTAAATACACACCAAAAGAAAGCTCTATTTGTGAGAAAAAAATGATCAAAATTTCATATGGGTACAATGTTGCAAGACCGCGCAATTGTCAATCAAAGTGCGGCAGCGCTGAAAGCTGAAAATTGGCCTGGTAAATAAGGGGGTATAAGTGCCTGGTAGGCGAGGGGTTAAAGGAAGAAACCTTCCAAAAATAGATTGACTTTGACCCTTACCTTGAAGCTAAAACTAAGTGCCTGGTAGGCAAGTGGTTAATATCAATTATGATACCTGAAATGAGTTTAGCCCACATTGGTAATATACAACCACTCAGGTATGTTTGTTGTATGATCAGATAGATTACTTTGAGGCAATTGAACATCATTTGCGATATATGAAATGACTTTAGCCTGTATTGGTTCTGTACAACCACTGAGCTAGGCCTATATTTTCTATTTTGGTGATTTGGTATGCAAGGACCAGAGACAGATCATTTTGATGCAGTTGGCCAGCTTGAACATCTATTACAATAAATTTTAAAATAGCACACGAAGGTTTCTGAGCTCTGTGACGTCAGCTAACTTTAGTTTACTGAAAACAGGTCACAGGCATGCAGAAAAAAAAAAACAAAACACAAAACAGGAGATTCTTCAGACTTTCCAGTTTTGGTGGGAATTTGATCTCCCACATGCCAAGCATCACTCTTTGAATGAAGTTAAAAGTGTTTTTCATGGCTTTATTGTATTCCAGGTGTAAAGCATATAAAAGTCCAAAGAAGAGGCAAAGTGCTTGAGGTAGGTTCTGGAGATCCTCCATTACAGTACTTCCCTCGGCTATGATGGTAATAGACACTGGGTCAAGGTGGAGATGATTTGGAGAAGCAGGCATACTTTCATCAATGACAGTCATCAGTCCAACAGGTAAACGTGCCCAGACCTCATCGCTGTCAGAAGGCGATACAAAAACAAACATGATCATTTGTCACTGTGTTGTATATGGTTAGTTTTAGCTTCAAGGTAAGGGTCAAAGTCAATCTATTTTTTGGAAGGTTTCTTCCTTTAACCCCCTTGCCTACCAGGCACTTATACCCCCTTATTTACCAGGCCAATTTTCAGTTTTCAGCGCTGCTGCACTTTGATTGACAATTGCGCGGTCATGCAACATTGTACCCATATGAAATTTTGATCATTTTTTTCTCACAAATAGAGCTTTCTTTTGGTGGTATTTAATCGCCACTGGGCACTTTACTTTTTGCGCTATAAATAAAAAAATTGCAAAAAATTTGGAAAAAAAAAAAAAAAGTTTCTTTGTTTCTATTATAAAATTTTTCAAAAGGTATTTTTTCTCCTTCACTGATGTGCGTTGATGAGGCAGCACTGATGGGCACTGATAGGCGGCACTGATGGGCACTGATAGGCAGCACTAAAGGGCACTGATAGGCAGTACTAATGAGGTGTCACGGATAGGCGGCACTAATATGCAGCACTGATAGGCGGCACTGATAGGTGACACTGATGATGGGTACTGATAGACGGCACTGACTGGCATCACTGTTGGGCACTGACTGGCGGCACTGACTGGCACAACCCCTGGGCACTGACTGGTGGCACTGACTGGCACAACCCCTGGGCACTGACTGGCAGCACTGCTGGGCTGCACTGGTGGGTGGCACTGGTGGGCAGCACTGGTGGGTGGCACTTCTGGGCACAGGTGGGTGGGCACAGGTGGGTGGCACTTCTGGGCACAGGTAGGTGGCACTTCTGGGCACAGGTGTGTGACACTGCAGAGTGGCACAGGTGGGGGGCACTGCTGGGCACAGGTGGGTGATCTGCTGGGCACAGGTGGGCGGAGCTAGTTGGCGCACTGCTGGGCGGAACTTGCGGGTGGCACTCTGCTGGGCACCAATCATCAGGGCACTGATCATCAGTGCCCTAAAGATCGGGTGCTGATCCCCGCTGTGTGACAACTGCCGGTTCTCGGCAGTACTTTCCTCACGATCTGACAGCGTGAGGAAAGTGCAGCTGAGAACCGGCACTTGCATTTCCCTGTGATCAGCTTGTCATTGGACACCGCTGATCATGTGGTAAAAGGCCGCTGTGATCGGCCTTTTTACCACATCACGTGATCAGCTGTGTCTGTAGGACACAGCGATCATGGAGATCGCCGGGTGCGCGCCCCCTGGGGCGCACAGGAGAGCGCGTTCTGGGGAGACGTCATATGACGTCCACTCAGAACTGGCCGGCCGCAGTGCAGCCGTCATTCGGCTATCTGCGGTCGGCTACTAGTTAAAGCATTTTTTTAAGCGGTTCTAAAGGCAAGTTTTTTATTTTAATGCATTCTATGCATTAGGATAAAGCACCTTCTGTGTGCAGCAGGTCCTCATTAACTGAGACAGCAGTGGGGCACCATTAGCTCCCATTGCATTCAAAGTCAGTGAGCCAATGAGGAGAGAGAGGGAGGTGGGGCCAAACCGCAGCTCTGTGTCTAAATAGACACACACAGCCTTGGCACAATTGCCCCATACAGCTGCTTGCTGTAGGGGCACTCAGCAGGAGTGAAGGGCCAAGAGTGCTAGCAGGGGACCCGAGAATAGGAGGGTCTGGGCTGCTCTGTGCAAAACCAACTGCATAAAAGGTGGTAAGTATAACACGTTTGTTATATTTAAACAGAAAAACACACAAGGACTTTAATATCACTTTAAATTAGATAGCTATATACACACGCAAAAAAGGGTATAATACATTCTGGATGCGCAAAAATAGTTGTAATTAATGATACAGTTCTACTAACACGTCTAAGTTGCCAAATTTGTGTTCAGGCATTAACATTTGTTTTTACCCTCCCTCACTAAGGGATTACATTTTTATAAAACTACCTATGCCCACCACTGTACTGTGATATAATAAATATTAATCTGTATTTCTAAGGAACACAAAGCAAATCCCCCCACAACTGCCAAGGTGCAACTATGATAACTTACGAAGCAGGTGATGTAGAATGTACTGGGGTCATCACACCAAGTAGAACACAGGGAGGCCTCGGCAGCACCAAGGAGTGTGCATTGCTGTACATCAGGTTTCTAGAAGTAAATTATCAAAAGTTCAGTTTAATATTGCATAAAAATGTAAACCTATATGTTTATGAAGCAAATATCACACTATTTGACAAACGTTCAGGACAAGTTACTGATTGAAAGTTATTTAAATTAACACCATAGATTCGATGTTTTTTTAACATTATTGGATCACAACTTCTCAAGACCACTTTAAAAAATATTGAAATCAATACAGGTAGCAACATAGGCCAAAAGGGATAGTAGTAGAGGTTACAGGTTGTACATTTATGGAGGTTATCTTACATATTTCTGTATATTGCAACTAGATGTTGCGTATAGCGAAGTATTCAAAAGTTCGATTCGGCGAATTCCAGTAAGAAATTTGATTTGATGCAGAATTTATTTTCGCTACGAAGATGACTTATAAAAAGGGTTTTTAGGGCTTCAGAGAGACTTTAAAATTAGTGCAGAACACTGTACCTTTAATTTAAATGCCCTTGGAGATGAGGAAGGAGAAGGAGAAGGATGAGGTGAGAAGGATGAGAAGAAAGGAGACAGGATGAGAAGAAGGAGAAGGATGAGGAGAGAAGAGAAGGATGAGAAGAAGGAGAAGGAGAAAGGATGAGAAAGAAGGGAAGGAGAAGGGATGAGAATGAAGGAGGAAGGATGAGAAGAAGGAGAAGGAGTAAGGATGAGAAGAAGGAGGCGGGATGAGAAGAAGGAGAAGGAGAAGGATGAGAAGAAGGAGAAGGATGAGAAGAAGGAGAGAAGGAGAAGGATGAGAAGAAGAGAAGGATGATGAAGAAGAAGCAATGAGGAAGAAGGGAGAAGGATGAGAAGAAGGGAAGGATGAGAAGAAGGAGAAGGATGAGAAGAAGGAGCAAGGATGAGAAGAAGGAGAAGGATGAAGAAGAAGGATGAGAAGATGGAGAAGGAGAAGGAGTGAGAAGAAGGAGAAGGAGAAGGATGAGAAGAAGGAGAAGGAGAAGGATGAAGAAAAGAGAAGTTAGTATAGGATGAGAAGAAGAAGAAGGATGAGAAGAAGGGACAGTTCTGTGACAGTCTTAATCTGTCTATTTCTGACAGTTCTGGGATCATTCACTCCATACAGCGGTTGAAAAATTGTCATCTATTTTTTTCAGTTTAATGACATTCTGCAAATACCTTAGAGGTATGTCAGCGCTTGCAGGATACACTTTTTGCGGGCTTGGAATTAATCTTGATTTTCATCCTACTTCTTCTTTTTCTTCTTCTTCTTCATCCTCAGAAGAAGAGTATGAGGATGAAGAAGAAGAAGAAGAAGAAGTAGGATGAAAATAAGAATAAATTCTCCAAGAGGCCCGCCTGGTCGGGCCGAATAAGAATCCCTGGGGCCTGGCCCAAAAAGTGTTATATGGTGCAGTGTTCCTCTTTTCTGACAGTTCTTGACAGCTCCTTCACATGTACAGCGGTTGAAACTTGACATCTGTATCCTAAAATGGAAACTAATAGATTCATTGTTTCAACCTAGCTAAACATGGATGAAGGAAACTGTCCTTAGAAATGTCAGAAA